CAACCTGGCCCAGGCTCTCCCCACCCTCACACTCCACAATTCCCTCCTCAGCTCCAACCTCCAGCTCCCTCTCCCACTTTTCATCCCTCCCCCTCATCCCATCCCTCCCTGCCCTTGGCCCAAGTCCCTCCCCAGCTTTCCTGGAGCCCCTTCAGGCCCTGGAAGCTGCTCTAAGGTCTCCCTGGAGCCTTCTCCTCTCCAGGCTCAACACCCCAACTCTCCCAGCCTGGCTCCAGAGCTGCTCCAGCCCTCCCAGCAACTCCAGGGCCTCCTCTGGACTCTTTCCAACAGCTCCATGTCCTTCTTGTGTTGGGGACCCCAGAGCTGTTCCCAGCCCTGCAGAGGGTCTCAGCAGAGCAGAGGGGACAATCCCCTCCCTGGCCCTGCTGGTCACACTCCTGGTGACAGCCCAGGACAGGGGGGGTTTCTGGGCTCCAGCACGTGGTGCTGCCTCATGTTGAGCTTCTCCTGCCCCAACACCCCCAAGTCCTTCTCCTTGGCTGCTCCATCCATTCCCACCAGCCTGGCTTTGTGCTTAGGATTGCCCCGGCCCCTATGCAGGACCTTGTTGAACTCCATGTGCTCCACAGGTCCCACCTCCCCAGCCTGTCCAGGTCCCTCTGGGTCAGAGACATTGACCCCCCCACACCTTCATCCCTCCAGCCCCAGTGACCCCCCCAGGCTTGGGGGATGAACCCCCCAACCTAACAGAGGCAGCGATGGGCCCCCAAGCCCCCCCAAGGGCAGGGCTCACCTGGGGGGGCTGCCTCTGCAGCACCGGCGCGGGGGCCGGGGGGGGGCAGCTGGGCCGGGGGGTCCCTCAGAGCTTCCAAGGTGTCCTCGGGAATTCCCTGCCGGATGGCAGCGTTGATCCTGCCCACAGCCCTCAGCACTGGGGGAGAGACCAGCCCCGGGGGGGCACGGCTGGGCTGCAGGAGGGGCCTCCTCCCCTGGGACCCTCGGCCAGGCTGAGCCACCAGCTCCTGGGCTGGAGCAGGAGCAGAACCTGCCCCAGGCACTCACTGCGTCGCTGCTCCTCAGCCTTCCTGTTGGCCAGGAGGATCCCAGCCTCCAGCTCCTCCTGCTCCAGCAGCTCCACGTAGCCCAGGTCCTGCAGGGCAGACAAAAGAGGACTTGGGGTCCCCCCAGATCCTGCTCCCACACACGGAGCCTTTGCAGAAGCTGCTGCTGCTCTGCAGAGCCACCCCCTGCCCGAGGGGGACCTTCTCCTCCTCCTGGGGGGGACCCACTGCAACCCCAAGGTACCCCCCAGGTGCCCCCCATGTTCCTCCTCCTCCTCTTCCAGGAGGGAATTACTGCAGCCCTAGGTTGCCACCCAGGTTCCTCCTCCTTCTCCTGGGGGGACCCACTGCAACCCCAAGGTGCCCCCCAGGTGCCAGCCCTACCAGCGCCTTCTGCTCCCGGTCCAGGCTCAGCTGCTCCAAGTAGAGGTCAAGGTTGTCCCTCCAGAGGCCGGGCAGGGCCAGGACAGGGTCCTGCAGAGCTCGGGACAGGGCCAGGGTGTCCTGGTTCTCCAGGGCATCATCCACCTCCTCCAGGGCTCCGTGCACTGGGGGAAAACCCAGGTCACCCCAGGGAAGTCACCCCACAGCCCCAGGGAGCAGGGGGGGCTCCAGCTGAAGCCCGAGTGCCAATAATTCCCATTTCTCCTGGGAGATGCACACCTGAGCAGACACCTCCCTTCTGCTGTGGCCACCACCCCGGGCAGGCTCTGCCCTGTGCCCTGGGGTCCCACTGTCCCACCAATAAGCTCTGGAGACCCCCCAGGAGGGAGGCCACAGTTCTGCTCTCACCATTCGCTTTGTTGATGTTCTCTTGGATCTCAGCCTGGGTCAGACACTGGTCGTAGATGTCCTGTCCTTCAGGGATCACCTGCAGGTGCTGGAGAGGACACCTCACCCTAAGCTTCCCACCCAAGCACACCCTGAGCACACTAAGGGGGGATGGGGGTCTCCTGCAGATTCATGGGTTTGATTCCCAACCCCAAACCAAGGCTCAACCAGCCCCCAGAGAGGAGTCATTTCAGAGTCACACAGTGGTTGTGCTTGGATCTCTGGAGATCATCTAGTCCAACCTTCTGCATCACCTACAGCAGATCCCATAGGAACACATCCAGATGGGTTTGGAATGTCTCCAGAGAACCCCTCTGGGCAGCCCATCCCAGGGCTCAGTCACCCTCACAGTGAAGAAGCTTCTTTCCCACCACCTCCCCCTCCATCTTCTGATCAGCACGTGGGTTCCCAGGCTGCGTTTGACCCACCAAGCACAAGGAGGGTCTCTGACCAACAAGGACAGAGGGAGCTGCTCCTTCCCCTGCCCTCTCCCTCCAGGACCCTCTCCATGTCCTCCTCACCCTGTTCCTGGCATTGCTGCCCTTCTCCAGCTTTGCCTGGTGGAGCATCTCCTGGTAGGCGCCCGCCAGCCCCTGGCGCAGGTTGAGGAGCAGGGCACTGGGGTTGCTGAGGGCCACCATGGTCTGGGCCACCACCCCCTCATCCACAGCCTGGTTGATGGCCAGCACAGCAGCGTGGACTGGAGGAGAAGCAGGAAGGTGAGACAGGGCATGGAAGGATGGGATGGGCAACGGTGGGTTCTGCCTTCTCAAAGAGCAACCTGCAGCCTCCAGGGCCCTGGAGGTGTCTGCAGCAAACCCAGCTGCTGCAGAGCCCCAGGGGCTGCACCAGCCCCTGCAGCCATGAAAGGGAGCACAGAATTGTGGAGTGGGTTGGAAAAGACTTTGAAGATCATCCCGTCCCACCATTACCCAGTCCCCACTGCCCCAGGTCCCTCAGCACCACATCTTGGAAACCCCTCCAGGGATGGGGACTCCACCCTGGGCAGCCTGGGCCAGGGCCTGACAACCCTTCCCAGGAAGGAATTGTTCCCAGGATCCAACCTCAACCTCCCCTGGGCAACTTGAGGCCCTTTCCTCTTGTCCCATCCCTTGTTCCTGGGGAGCAGAGCCCGACCCCCCTGGCTCCAACCTCCTCTCAGGCAGCTGCAGAGCCAGCAGGTCTCCCCTCACCTCCTGCTCTCCAGGCTGGACACCCCCAGCTCCCTTGATATTTTTCCTAACATCCAATCCAACCCTCCCCTGGTACAACTTGAGGCTGTTTCTTCTTGTCCCATCTCTTGTTACATGGGAGAAGACACCAGCACTTGACCCTCTCCAACCTCCTCTCAGGCACTTGTAGGGAGCAATAAGGTCTCCCCTCAACACCCCCAGCTTCTCAAGACTCTTCCTCAGCTCTGTTGCCCTTCCCTGGACACACTCCAGCCTCTCCATGTCCTCCTTGTCATGAGGAGCCCAAAACTGACCCGAGCACCTCCCAGTTTGGGGGCTCCAGGCCCACGGGCACCATCACCTGCTGCTTCGTCCACCGAGAGCTCGTTGGCCAAGATGCCCCCGATCTTGCTGAAGGCAGGAATCTGCAGCCCGTACTTCTCCAGCTCCTTCTTCATGTTGTTGATCTCCTCCTCTGCAGCAGAGCACAGAGGCCCCACCACTCAGCACCGGGACCCAGGGAAGCCATGGGGACACCCCCCCCCAAAGCAAAAGGACACCAAAAACACCCGCACCCAGGGAAGTGTTGGAAAAGCTTGTCCAGGATCTTCATCCCCCACATCCCTCCCACTGCAGGGATCCAAGGACATCACTGGCAAACCAGCCCCAACTTACCTGTGAAGTCCACTTTCCCATACAAGTCCTGGATCTGAGGAGCCAAGCCCAGCTTGAAGAGGTACAAGCTGAAAGGTGAAGCCATGACCACAAATTCACTTCCTTCCCCATCCCAAGGCTTCTGCAGCACCCAAGGCTGTCACCACCAAGGGTCTCATGAACCCTGACCCCAGTTTTGGCCCCAGGGAAGCCCACCTGAGGGCGTGGATGCAATAAACCACCCGGGGCATGTTCTTCTTGTCATAGATGTCAGTGGTCTCCGGGTGGAAGATCTACCAAGGAGACAAGAGACAACTCAGGTGGAGATGGTCCACAGGGAGGATGGTGTCCAAGGGTGAGGAACACAGATGAACCCCCCCCGCAACACCAGGCTGGGGAGGTGCATCCCTGGGGCTGCCATGAAGGGTAATAATGGTGTCCCTTGGCCAGGGAAGGGACCTTACCAAGGGCAGCCCCACGTGGCTCATGGCATCACGCCAGTAGTTGATATTGTCCGTGTGCCGAAAGTGAAGCCCGGCTGCCTGGCAGAGGGGAAGGTGGGGTCAGGTTGAATCCCACCTTCTCCCACCCCCTTGGGGTTCCCCCCTCTCCCCCAAACCCACCCATGAGGTTAAAGATAGAGGCAAACCCTGAACCCCTCCAGGGCAGCACAGCTCAGAGACCCTGTTTGCAGCCCATTCGACTGTCCCTTAACCAGTTAACAGTTTAACTGACCCTTAACCAGTGCAAGTCGGTGTGTGTGTGTCCCCCTCCCCACGTGCCATTCACCAGCCACAAGAAGGTCCCTCCACCTTTTGGGGTGCACCCAAAGGAAGGCACCCCCAGGCCCCCAAGCCCTACCTTGTACCGGGTCTGCTCGTGGTCATAGATCTTCTTCAGGGGGACCACAGAGGGGGCAAAGCAGTGGCCCAGCTTGGCCAGGACCACCCCGTTGCGGAGGGTCTCCTCCAGCTCCAGGGGAGGGGGCAGCTCCTCACCCAGACAGGCTTCCAGCCAGCTGCTCAGGCAGAGTGGGGGGGACACACGTCATGGACCCCCCAGAACCCCCACCTTTCACCCTCAGGAGGGTCAGGAAAAGCAGCACCCCAAGGAGACATCCCCACCCCATCTCTATAGAGCCCCCCTATCCTGGCAGGGGGAGGTGGGGATGTGTGTGTGTGTCCCCCCCTTTTTGCAGATGGGGGCTTTTCAGTTTGGGTGCAAGAGCACAGCTGGGTACC